CCAGAGGAGGAGGAGGAGGAGGAGGAGGGAGGATGGAGGAAACATCACGAAAACGGAAAACAGTGCTTAGGCCGAGCCCTGTTGTGGGGTGACCCAGCGGCCGCGCGTCTGAACAGATCCGAGCCGTGGCGTGCCGCCTCCCCCGCGATGTGGGAGGACAAGCTCCGGGTGCCCGCGCTGTGGCGGTCGCTGGCGGCGAACCCGCTCGGCGACCTGAAGGAGGCAGGCGGCGGAAGGGTGCCTCGAGGAGGAAGGAGGTGCCCCCAGACATGATCGCGTCGTTGCAAAATCAGGACGGGAGGTTTTTGGTTGTTTTCGGCCCCGGGGGGGGGTCCTCGCCGGGCCTCCGGGCCGTCAAAAAACGACTCAGGACGAAAAACCGGTCCCGGGGAAAGGGTCGGGATTGCCAGGGACGCCGTCCTGAAAAAATTAGCTTGACGAAGGACCCGACCATATGCAGCTGCGAGTGCCGCATTGTGGGTACTGCTTTCGGTGGCGCTCCCTATGGGGCCACTAAGCGTGCGCGGGGTGCGCCGAAATCGGTGGCGCGGACGCATGTGGACACCGCCACTGGGGCCTTCGGTGGAGCTCCCTATGGGGCCACGAAGCGTTGTCCTGGGCGGGGGAGACGCATGCGAACTGCGCCATTGGGACCTTCGTTGGAGCTCCTTATGGGGCCACAAAACGCTGTCCTGGGTTGGGTGGAGGAGACGCATGCGAGCTGCGCCACTGCCGCCTTCGGTGGGGCTTCCTGTGCGGCCACGAAACGCTGTCCTGGGTAGGGGAGACGCATGCGAACGGCGCCACTGGGACCTTCGGTGGAGCTCCCTATGGGGCCACGAAACATTATCCTGGGTGGGGGAGGCATGCGAACGATGCGACTGGGGCCTTTGGTGGGGCTCCCTATGGGGCCACGAAACGCTGTCCTAGGTGGGGGAGACGCATGCGAACGGTGCCGCTGGAGCCTTCATTGGAGCTCCCTACGGGGCCACGAAACATTGTCCTGGGTGGCGTTGACGCATGCGGACCCTGCCACTGGAGCCTTCGGTGGACCTCCCTGTGGGGCCACGGAACGCCGTCCTGGGTGGGTGAAACGCAGGGAGGTGGCGAGGCGGATGGGAGGAGGGGGAGGAGAGGAGAGGAGAGGAGTGACGCGGGGCGCTGTCTTTTCAAAACGAGGACCCAACACCACAGGATGGTTGGGAAGCAGTACGTCGCATGTCTGGGCCGATACCGCTATATACACACCTCCCTCGTTTTCGCCGTTTTGGGCCTCCTGGGAGGCCCTCGTCGCCACGGCTGGATGCATCTCGAAATGTTGGTCGGAACGCACCCCTGGAGGTTTGGGGAGCAGCGACATCAGTAGTCGCAGGGGGGAGCTTCGAAAGACGAGACGGTTGTCCATTGTTTCCGACCGGGCGGAAACGTCTGCAGCAGATGGAGCCCAGATGGGGTCTGAGGCCAGATTTAAAGCCGCTGTTGGTCGTCTTGCGATCTGGACCGTCTTTGAGACTTTGACATTGCAATGCTTTTCCTACCGGGCGTTGTCGCCTGGCTTCGGGCCTGTGGCCATCTCACAGACCGATCCGGCTCACAACAGATGCAGCAGAGAGCTCGGGTCCTGGGCTCCGGTCGTGACTCATGGTGGTGTCGCTGTCTCGCGATGTGTGATGTCAGGGGATCCTGCGGCTCGCAGGTTCCGTAGACGCGCTGACGGCAATGCAGGTCACGGCGATGTAGGTGTCGGCATTGTAGGTGGGGTTGGTGCGTGGCCAAAACAATTGTAGGACATGTTAGTTCGCGCTTTCCTACAATTCGCTGCGTCGTTTTCGCTCGATACATTCGCACATTTGAAATATAGGAAAGTGTAGTTCATGATTTCCTACCATGTGTTCTGTGCGAGCTCGGCGTCACAAACACCGGATTCCCAGCATCGTTGTTAACCAACATCGCCGTTGGCGCGGCCGTGGAGGTTGGTGGCGGAGGCGGGCAGGCGGGGCTAGCGGGCATTGGCCTGTTCTCGTCGTGGAGGAAGCCGGGCGGGAGGCTCTGGGCCGTTTTTCGTGTTGTTGGGGGAGTTTGGGTTTCGAGGCCGACGAGAGACTGCGGGATTTGTCTCACACGCTCGGTGAGGAAGAAATCGGCTTTCAAACGCAGCCGTTTTTTTGCTCGTGCAGAACCTCGCTGACCTCATCCGGATGCCTTTTGGCCTCGCCTTCGGCGTGTGGCAGCATCCATGTTGTGGCGCCAGCTGTGGTAGCATGCTGTCCGCTCCAGTCCTCCCCCTAGAAAAAACGGCCCGGAATGAAAAGCCGGTCCGGGGGAAGCGGTTTGGACATCCTGGGAGCCCACGCTGTGAACAAGAATCACGGCGTCGGAGATTTGGGGTTCAGTCGGCCAAAACACAAACGACACCACCCCACCTTCGGCCCTCCATGTTGCGCTACGGCCCATCGGGGGCCGTGGCGTAATTATACCATGCAAAAACCCACGCCAGATGTCCTGGTATACGCTACGGCCCGTGGGGCCGTAGGTGCGGTGGTGTTGTTTGTTTTCTGGTCCACTCAGGGCGAGGACGAGAACAGCTGAGGGGGAGGAGCGTGGAGGCGCAGCCGCCTCGACCCCTGCGGCACCACAGCACTCCACGAAAAGTGGACCTGCACCCTCCTCCTCCTCCTCCTCCTCCTCCTCCTCCTCCTCCTCCTCCTCCTCCCTTCTCCTCCTCCTCCTCCTCCTCCTCCTCCTCCTCCTCCTCCTCCTCCTCCGCCTCCTAATCCTCCTCCTCGTCCTCCTCTTCCTCCTCCTCGTCCTCCTTCTCCTCCTCCTCCTCCTCCTCCTCGTGGTCGGCCAATCCTCAGCCAAGCCCAAGGACACGGGGGAGGCCCCTTCGCTTCTTTGCAGGGCCAGTGCCTCCTCGGCAGCCTGGCTTTCGTCCTCCTCGTGGCTCTCCCCTCGCAGTGCGACCTGCTCCCTCTGGACTCCACCGGATGGTTGCGCGGGGGTCCAGGGTGTCCGATCGACAGGGGCGGCCAGGGTCCCGCATCCTGCTCACGGGGCAGGCTGCGAGCGAGGACGGGCGGGGACGCGGAGACGGACAGGGTCGGAAGCAGGCTGGCGTTGCAACATCGCCAGATTGACCTCAGGCGTTGCGATTTGCCGAATCTGGATGCTGGCAGTTGTTCTACGGTTCTGGCCTCCAAGGAGTCTGTGTCGGGCTCCGGGGCCAAGAATGACTTGGGACGAAGGAACCGGCCCAGGGAAGGGGTCGAAATTTCCAAGGTCCCTTTATCGAAAAGATCACGACGTCGGTGGTCTGGATCTTCTGGCGCCTTCTCCTCCTCCCTGCATCGCCACGGATGCGCATGCGCATCGTAGCAGCGCTGGCAGTGCGCTGGAGCACCCGTCCCCTGTGCCGCCAGATCTTGGAGCCCACGTTCCCTACCGAGCTCAACTTCACCAAGTGCACCGACGAGAGCGTGTTCCCACACCCCGGGGAGGGTGGCCAGGGGGGGCAAGAGATTGACATTGCCGGGATTGCCGACGTCCAGGAGCCAGCGGCCCCCAGCTTGACCCTCAAGGAGTGGCGAAGCATCCCGTCCTGCCGACAGGCCCACCATATAATGTTCCAAGAACAGTGTGTGGTTTGCCCGAAATTGTCGGAGAACCTTTCTGGCTGAGACCGTCGCGTTTGAATGTGCCGTCTTTCTGTTCCAGAGGTTCCCGTTCTCACAGCAGTATTTGTTGTAGCAGCATGCCGTGGTAGGCCCATCGGGATGCTGGGACGGTCAGTCCCTGCGCAAGACCCTCCACCGCCGGCTGGGGTTCTGGCGCCCCGCCGCCCCGTCCAGGGCATGCGTGCTCGCCGCCGGGCGGGACGCATCGGCGACGCACCCCGAGATCCGACGTTCGGCGGCGAAGTCCACATCCGATCCTCGCCGATCAACGAGTCAGGCAACTCGATGGGCGGCGTTGGGTTCGGAATTCGTCGAACACGTGGCGAAGTCCGAACCCTACTCCCGCCCCCTATTGATTCAGGGGGATCGAGGGTTGGTGGGGTTCGGGTTTGGATGTCGCCACACATAGACTTGCGGAACAATTGCAACATCGTATGAGAAACTTGACGGGAGCCCTGGACCTCATCATTTCGCGGCAGTTTTCGAGACGGGCGATTTTTAATTGTCTTGGGTCCCGAAACTGGTCGAAAATGTCTTGGGTTAAGGAAATGCAGCACACGGGCCTCAGGGATATCTATCTATCTATCTATCTATCAATATGTATATATATATATACAAATATGTATATATATATATATACATATCTATCTATACATATATATATAACTATAGCTATATATATATGTATACATATATACATCTATATATATATATATCTATCTATATATACATACACATGTGTATGTACGTATGCATATATGTATGTGTATGTATGTTTGTATGGATGGCTGTATGGATGTATGGGTGTATGGATGTATGGATGTATGTATATATAGTTATGCATGTATGCATATATGTATGCATGCATGTATGTATACATGCATGCATGCATGTATGTGTGTATGTATGTTTGTTTGTTTGTTTGTGTGTTTGTTTGTTTGTATGTATGTATGTATGCATGCATGCATGCATGCATGCATGCATGTATGTATGTATGTATGTATGTATGTATGTATGTATGTATGTATGTATCTGTATATAGAGGCGACGGATCGCCGATTCCAGGTCGACGTTCCGGCCCGCCCCCGTCCCTGAATCCAGTACCCTCCGTTTCGCCCCCCGCCTCAGTCGAGCGGGGAAACACCACCCCGACCTCGTCAATGGGTGCCAAACGGTCCTGCGCGTGCACTGCACGACCCTGCCTTGTGCGGTGCCTTCCGCACGCGCGTTTTGCGAGAGGGCTTCGCTCGGCGGGGGGCTGACGCTGAGGTCGGCCCTTCGGCCCTCTGCCCAGGCGGAGAGGTGCCCGCCTCCGCGGTAGACGACGGGGAGTTTGGCGGTGGGCACGGGGCCTACCTGGCGTACCAGGCGGCGTGCCACTGGAAGCTGGAGGCCGTCGCCGCGATGCAGGAGGCCCTCCGCAAGCTGATGGCGGAGAGGTCCGCCGAGGCCGACTCCGGCTCCGCCAAGGACCGGGCGGAAGGAAAGTTGAAGAGAAAAGGGGACTGATAAACGTCAGATGTCTGAGTTCCGCGCGGATTTCCCGGATCCGGATCGGCGCTGGGCCTCCCCGGCGGCGCCTCTGGCGCCTCCCCTGGCGCCTGGCGCGCTCCGCGCGCCTGGGAGGGCGGTCCAGCATCTGTTTAAGAGATCCGCGCGGACTTCCAAGAAGGGGCAACGATAGGAGGGGTAGGCACGGGGGCAACGATAGGGGGGGAAGGCACAGGGGGGGATGCATCGACCCAATCGCCCATGGATCGCCGATAGTGCCCCACGATAGCCCCAACCTGCCCAGGAACGTGCGGATTCATTATCGGGGGTCTATCGCCGATCTATCGGCGATGTATCGCCGATGCCAGGTCGATGTTTCCCCCCTACCCTAAGTCGGGCATGTCCCTCTACAGGAGGAACTATCCAAGACTAGTAAAGAAATAGTATGGGGACGATTTGTTTGAATATTTGTTGGTTGATTGTTTTGAATATGTTTGACTATTTTGCATTTTTCGCCCAAGCTCCGCCTGTAGGGGGACATGCCCGACCTAAACCTATGCCTTTCCCCCCTATCGTTGCCCCTCATGCTCCGGCTCCGCCCATGGCCCACTGGAAGGAAAGGAAGGGGCGCGCAGGCGGTCAGGGCCTCGGAGGGCAGATGCGAGCAGGGTTGGCCCTCAACGCCCTTCTGCTTGTCTTCGGCTGCGTTCTTGTTTTCCGTTTTGGGAGGGAGGTACAGGAAAACAGATGGGGCGAAACGAAAATCATAACGAACACAAAACGAACGCACAACGTTTGGGTCCAGCCCTGGATGCGAGCAGCCAGGATTGAAAACCGCAGATCGCACCCGAGGAACTCAGCCGCTCAACCAAAAATGTGCACGTCAATGGCTATGGCAACCCTGCAGCGGGAGCTCAGACGAGGATTCGGCCTGGAAGTGGTCGTGGGACGGTGCTGCAGCTCTTCTTTCGTATGCGGGGTTTTGTTGAGCAGTTTTGTTGTTGTTGAGTGGCGATAATTGAGACGCTCCCCTCTAGTACTTACAGACATGCTGGCATCAAAGTAACATGTGGCAACACACACTCACACCAACTTTTCGAACCGTGGTGCAACGGGGACGCAGGTGCGGGCGCTGCAGGTTGAACATGTATTGCCTTCGGCCATTTCTTCTCGGGGGGCAGCGATGGGGGTGGAACGATCCGCGTGGCGTCAGACGCCCTGTCAGATGGCGTCAGGTAAGCTCGGCGTCCCTACTTCCGATCGTTTGGTAATGATACATGAGGACGGCGGCCGATTTCGCACGGGTGGGAAGAGCGTCCTGTTATGGACGCCCTCTTGGATGATGGTCGGCGCGCGTGCCTCTCACCGAGTTGTAGGTCAATGGGAGGGGCGACCGATCCGATCGTGGGCTGCGTGGGGGGCGGCGGTAGAGGTTTGGGTGAGGAGGAGGACAGAAAGGGGGATAACAGGAAGAGTACGAGGAGGCTGGAGAGAGGGGCCACGGGGAATGGGGAAGAGACACACTGCGTGACCAAGGAGACAGGGCGGACAAATCTTACCAATTTGCAGGCCCAAGATGGAAGAGCGGGAGGAGAAGTACAGGGGCGGGAAGAACACGAGGAATGCGCGCAGGATGCGGAATGTGAGGAAGAGCAATGCGAGGGCGGAGGCTCGGGCGAGAAGCGCAGGGAAGTGTGGAGAGCGAGGCTGGGGCAGGCGAGGAAGGCCAGGGGGTCTCCTGCTGGATCGTCTGGGAATCCTGTCCGCCGATGATGCCGCGCGCCCGTGCCTCCCCTCGATTGGCAAAGGCTGCACGGGGGGCGGCGGCCGAGGGGCAGAACAGTCAACCCGCTGGCCAATCTCGCTCGAAAAACGTTAACGTGGCCCTCCAAGGCCCTTGCATCCTTGCCGCGCATCTTTACTGTACGGGTTGACTGTGATAAGATGGGCCTCCCGCCAAGGAAGCGCAGTCTGGTGCTGCGCGGCCCCCGCTCTGTAGTGAAGGCAAAACGGGGGTTGGCGTCCACTGTGGCGCTTGGGTGCGAGGCGAGGTTGGGGAAGGAGGAGGCGGGATGACGAGGGAGGTAGGATGAAAGGACAGAGACTTGGGGGGTGGAATGAAAGGATGGCGAAATAGGGGTGTCGGGAAGCAGGACGGGCGGCGGGGGAGAAGGAGGATGACGACGACGAAGACAACGGGGAGAGGGACGAGGAACCCAAGGAGGAACAACAGCGGAATACGAGGCGCATGATTCGCCCGCTTTGCCCACTTCGCCCAGCGGCCAGTGGGCGGGCGCAGATCAGCCAGCAAGGCAGGCGCAGATCGACGCGGTTGAGTAGGGCATTTCGCTTGCTACATACGGATGTCCGCCTCCCCATTTCCTCGTCTTCTGCTTTCGCTGTCCTGTTCCTCCTCTCAGGCGATCGCCAACATGGATCAAGGGGGCGTAGATTAGCGACGGGTCCCGTTTCCATTGGAAATCGTGGATTTCCGCCGCCGACCGAGGCGGCACCGGCCGCAGTTTCGGGAGGGCACCTTCCCCGATCCGCGGATTTGGCGACCGCGCGCCAAATCCATGCATCGCTAATCCATGTTTGCGCGCCCCCGATCCTTTCCCTCCTCCCTCCTTGCACCCCCCTCCTCCCAGCGACAATCGCTGGTGCTTGAAGGCGGAATGCGGACAGCACTTGCTTACCCTGGCCGCCGTCCCTGGGGGAGTGCACGGTGGCCACGGTGAACCGGCCGGGTAGACAGGCAGGGCGCGCACTGGGCTATTCCGCCGACGTACCCGCCCAGGGTCAAGAGGGTACAGGACGCGGGTCCAGGGTGAACAGGTAGAGCCCGCGTTTGCATGAGCAAATGATCCCTGCGGTATTCGCTCGGGGTAAACAGTCACGTGCTCGATCTGCGTAGCCCCCACGCTTCGCGTGTGGTTGTACGACGGGGCTCTAGGGCAAGCAGGTGCTTGTTCTACATGTAGAGGCAGTCGTTTGCACCAAAGGGCGTGAACAGGCGGTGGCATTACCTGTTAAGGCACTTCGGGGCAAACAGAAACTTTCTCTGCCCGTAGACGCGACTGCCCTAACCCCCGACCAGCGGTGGTCGACCTGCAAAGGTTGGCCGTTATACCTGGCCCAGTCTGCACGCCAGGCAGCCGCGACCGGGCACTGGTGGGGGGTCCGTCCGCGAGGTTCCGCGGGTGCCCGCGCTGGCGCTGGTGATCGGCACGATCGCGGGGTAAAGTTGGGTTGCACCCTTTCCTGCGGGCTTGCCCCGCGTCGTGGCAGGATTTGGCGACCCTCTCCCCGGCACTCCGGTCGCCCCGCGTTTCGATTTGGCCCCTTCCAGAGCGTCGTGCGAGCGTCGATTGGCTCGGGCCCTTGCGGGCCCGCAGAGAGGCGCACCGCCCAGAGTCAACGGGGTGGGGGGCGGTGCGGTGGGGTTGGGGGGGGGGGGCGAATGGAGTGGGGCGAGGGGTGGGAGGCGAGAGAAGGAAGAAAGGGGAACGGGGTGGAGGCAGGGAGGTGGGCGGCGGGGGGGGGAGGGCGAGGGGGGGGACGGGGAATCTGGGGGATGGAGGGGGAAGAATCGAAGAGGAAGGGGGAGACGAGGCGGAGGAGGAGGAGGAGGAGCATGCGGACATGGAACAGGGGAACGGGGCAGAGGAAGAAACCAGGGAAACAGGGCGCACAAATGTTGCCCCCCCGCTGCAAGTTGAAGAGCGAGCTGGGCAACGTGGAGGAACATGCGGGGCAAGAGTGGGAGTAATACGCTCATGAGGAGGAGGGAGGTGGTATTCTGACCCGGGACCCCCCCCAGGACCCCCCACGGGCTTCCCCTGGGACCCCCCCCCGGCCGGGGAAGGGAACAAAGGGAAGGGGAAACCTTTCGAGTCAATTTACTTTCAGGCAGGAGGAAGAGATGAAGGAGGAGTTCCCAGAGGTTCCCCCCCCAGCCGCGATGGCTGACTCTGTCTCTCCGCCGCGCATCGCCCGCGGCGGCCGCGGGGCGCTCTCGCGCACGGCGGCGCGCCTCCAAGGGCGGGAGGCTGCAGTCTCCTCCCTGGCCCCGCGCCTCGACGCGAGGCTGGTCCTTCTCGCAGGCCCGTCCTTCTCACATTTTCTCACAATCGTCTGCTGCACTTCTCACACTTCTCTTGCCAAACTTCCGTTTCAGCCACCGTCTGTGGTTGGCCTCGCTCCTTGCGCTGTAGTTGATGATGGTGGGCTTCAATTTGATCGCCTCCTGTTTCGGCTCCATCGCTTCGCCTCCCGCCAGCCACTTGTCTGCGATCGCGGCCCTGACCTTCCACATGGCCCAGCTCGCTTTCTCGGACCATCCGTGGCGACAAGGCGGGACGAGGAGTAGCTAGGGCTAGGGATATTGGGCTCTTGCTTCGCCTCTGCCTTCTTCTCGCATGCCCTGATCCCAGCGCTGTAGCAGATGACGTCGGGCTCTACCTTCGCCTCCCACTTCTCGCGCTCGCTGATCCCAGTGGCTTGGATCTTCGCCTTCTGCTGCCACTGCCCGTCTTTCTCGCACTGCTCTCTTCTCGCACATCGTGTCCTTCTTAGGCTGCTACTGCCCGTCCTTTTCGCTCGCCCATTTCTTGCCCTCTCGAAGCGGCCACTGCCCGTCTTTGTCGCACGGCTGCCAATGCCCGTCCTTCTCGCACGAGCTGACCTCTCGTCCTGGAAGCTGCCAATGCCTGTCCTGATCGCACTTTGGCCCCTTCCTCTCTTGAAGCTGCTACTTTCCGTCTTTTTTTCGCACGCCACGCTGTAGTTGGTAGCGTCTGGCTCGTCTTCTTGGGGCTGCCACTGCCTGGCCTTCA